AGCTAAAGCTGTTGGGGTCCTGTTACCCCAATGGTTGGCCACTAGGGCCGCGGGCTGTGCCGACACAGATCTGGCATGCTCGTGGCGGTGGTGGGGTAGTGCTTGTGGGCTCAAGACAGCACCAAATATGGCAGTGTGTCAAAACCTTGTACCCCTGGTGAACATCAAAATAGCTGGTAAATGGATGTTCATCCCCCTAAAAATGTATCTATAGGTATTGATCCATAGCCAGTTGTACGGCACGGGGAGTTGACTTGGATTTAAAAAAACGCGCAGTTGCGCTAGCCGTCCATTGTGGACAGCAGCAAGAAAATGTGCTACGCTGCCATTTCGTAGGGGTTATATAGGAATCGCTGGTGATGGTGGAATGATTGGAATGACCATATTCCATATACCATGTAACTTGATGTAACTTGACCATCACAAGCCAACATCAATCAGTTTACGTTCAAACATGGCCCCTTTAAAAAACCTTCCAGGATTAGATGTCTCCCCCTCCTGAGATATCCTGATTTCTGTCTATGCAACGTCGGTGAATTCAACGGTTGGGTCCTAGTTCTGAAAACCTCGAGTGACAGAACTAAAATCCTCACCTGATTTCGGCCCCTATCCTTTGTGAGGAACCCTAAGCGAAATCTCTACACAGACTCATAAAACTTCACAAATCCCAAAGAGAAAATCAGTTTTGCCGCATTGCCCACTAAAGAAATGAAGCGGAAGACAACTCCAATTGGTTTCGCCCTCCATTTCCCACCTGGTCCACTGTCTCCAATGCCAGCGCACGGCGTTTCGCTTCCTGGCGAGTGGTTCCATTTAAAAGGTGATACTCAACAAAAATTCGACCAGCACGAGAAGTTGGATTACTAAAATGACGATGTTTACCTATATATATATAATGACAATTCTTCTTCTTTTTGGGGTGTACTGTATGATCTGTATGTATGAAACCATTGCCATGTTTTTGTTTGTACATGACAACACAGTTTGACGCCAAAACCTGACACTATCACTAGCCACTGAGGCAATAGGATAAAACCAGAAAACAGACAAAGTTTTTCCGTGGTTACGGGATGTTACGGGTAGACATAGGTCAGCATTGGATCAAAGAATCACATTCATCAACTTTCTGGTGCTAAACGTAGGGTATGAGGGAATGATCTAAATTACCTCAGCAGGCCAGGGCTTGGCGGTGGTGAGTTTTTTACCGAGTCATAGCGTGAAAATGAAGTGTGACCTGAAACACGTTACTTTTTTTGGCATGAATCGAACTGGGTGTGTCTGAAAATAGTGTACCCCATTTACCCAATGGTTAATGATCATTATCCCTATTAAATGGCTATAATTGGGAATATACCCTATTTTCAGACAAACCCAACTGAAGAAATGATCCAATCTGGAAAACTGCTGAACTTCGCATCAATTATGGCAACATCGTGGTCAGGTTGCTATAACTTCACCCAGTCCTCTACCTATTCCCCTTGCAATTCTTGCTTGGTCGGGAGGTCAATCTTCCATCTTCCCGTTCCTGAAAAATACACAACAAGAGACATATATCAAGCTTTTTTGGTGGGGGTTCCAGTCATGTTACTGTCGCTTCTTAGTTGGTTATCCATCAATGCATGGTTTTCCCATGTTTTCACAAGCATATATCTGATAGTCAGCTGGATGCCAGGCGTCCCCATCGCCTTCTTTCCAGTGCGTTGGATCACCATGTACCGGAGCTGGCAAGAGCGGCTCGGTGGAAAAGATGGGCTGCTGGGCTGCTGCATGTTTCGCTGCCCTAACATCAGCAGTGCTTTCAGCATTGCTTTCTCCCAAGAATGACCTCCACTACTTGCATGATAACTTGGGATTTTGGTGAAAACCCCAAAAAAGTCCTCTCTACTGTCGTTGGTTTCCTATGTTTCATAGCCATCCGCATGGTATCCCCGCAGATTCCCACAGTCGTCCCACCTGTTTGTCCATGGCCACCAGGCATTCCACGGCAGTGCCATTCACCGCCAAGACCGGCAGAGTCCTCTGTGGCCCCATGAACAACCCGGTCACCATGATCTGGCGGTTGATGGATGGTTCGCAGCTCTTTGGACAACAAAAAGTTCCAATTGTTGAAGAGAACGCAGTTGTCTCCGAAAAGTCATTTGAAAGTGCGACCCTTGAAATGATCATTTACCCTCCAAAAATCATCCATCTTTTGGGACTAAACCACCAAAACCCCTCTGGCATGGCGGGTCCTGCCCCTGACCAGGTCACGGATAAAACCAGAGATCTCCTGACACTAAGGCGCTGTCTGGGGAGGGGAAATACGTCAACGAAACTTCCTAAAACCATTCACCATTCGCCGTTGATCCTTTTTTGGGCTGCTGGAGTATCTGCTCTGACTAAACCCATTCATTGGTCGATCCCTCTACTGAAGTATGCACCAGTATCGTGTTTCATATGTTTCATATCGCGCCAGATACGTTTGAATTGAAGCCTAGGAACTGCGATGCACGGGGTGAACTGGCCAACGCAAAATAATGCGTCAAACCATGCAGTTAATATGTGTTTTTGAGTGTCCTGAACATATATTTCTGTTGATATTCATATCATACTGTAACATCTATGTTTGTGTAATTTTATGTATGTTGACATCTGCACATATTGATACAGTACATCTAAAAATATGGGTGTTACCATGAGTGCGCGGAAAATTATTGTATGAACCCCATCTTTGATCATCATTCAACTTTTTAGTAGGGCCAACTGCAAGAATTCAAAAGGCATGGCAGTTGAGCCTTTTCTTCAAATCCCCAAAGTTAGTGATTCTAATCGCAGATACCCCTTGGCTGGTTCTAAGTTACGCAGGATCAGAAACCAAAAAAAACCTTCGAAAAATCAGGCTCTTCAAACTGCAAGGAGCCAACCGAACCAACCCCTGGCCTGACGATCCAAGGGATCTTCTGGCATCTCCAAAGCTTCGTCCGGGAGTTTGCCGGGGATGAAACCGAAAATACCAACATTTCACAACGAAAATGATGGAGGGGGAGAATCCAAGGTGGTAGGTTGATGGTCGAGTCTGAAGGTCTGGTGAAGAAAATCCCATTCAACAGGTAGATGTTTAAAAAAAAATGTTGAATAAACATTCATAAATCAGGTAGATGTACTTATGAACATCTACCTGTTGAATATATGAAAATCCCATTCATAAATGTATTTTTGGCATTTCTTCAATCTATTTTTTCGAGCTGATACGTCCGTTTAACTCATCAAATGTTAGGCTCTTTTTGAACATATCCGGCAGTTGATGCTTGATGTACATATAGACCCAAACTATCGCCTGCCCACAAAGAAACAAACTTGCCCAGAAGGCCCAAACTCACACTCAACCTGCAAGACGAAACTCACAAAATAGTTCCTAACCTTTCATTCAACCAATCAGGCTGAAACTGGCAAGATACCGGGGCTACTCTCCAAATCCCAGAAATCTTGGATCGTAATCACTTTTGGCAGTTTCAAATATGGGATTGTCTCAGAGTATGGTACCTGTAAACACACTAAGTGGGGCAACAAGCGGCTGGATGCTACGCAGCCTTTTCACTACAAACACACTCGTGAGCCTCCATCATGGCCCGGCAAAAGGTTTGATGTGACATGGGACAAGCTCAAGCTGTACAGCTCACACACCTCAAATTCTATTTTGAGCTTGTCCAATTGGAAAAGGCAAGCTGGAGGATCTAATGTTTCCCCACCAGCTGCGTACATCGAAAATCACCTTGGTCAGGATATCTGCCATCTGACTCCCTGTCGGAACCCATCGGAGCGTCTTCCCACCGATGATGCGACTGCCCCACCACTGCGCCTCCTCGTTGACCATCTTTCGAAGTGCAGTGATGTCGACGACTAGCCTCTTCTCGCTAGGCGCCTTAGGTCCCCCAAGACGATGAACGCTGTCATACAATGACTTGCAGTCCGTCATGGAGACGATCGGGAAGAGCTTCCTGGCCTCTGCTTCTTGAGCTTTTGCAGGATCGGGGGAAAGGACACCGGCCACAAAAGAGCGGAATGCCAATGCCTCCTCCCAACCCTCAAGGCCTGCCATTGTCTCAGCAGCAAAGGTGCTCCTGCATACACGAGGGCATGCGTGGGACTTCCAGCCCACAATCGCCATGGGACAATCTTTTGCTCCAAGGGCTTGTCGTGAAGTTACCACCAGGAGGTGTCCAAGTTGAGAATAGACACCTTGTCCCTCAGAGGCGATCACATCCTCGTGGTCGTCGAGGTCCAGGTCCATAGGGGCGTTCGCCCAGGCCGCGTCGTGGTAGACCATGAGCATGAGGTCGTCAAAGTTGTCCGCCAGCTTGACGAACTTGAGCGGCTCATCCTTACCCATCTGCGCCATCTTCACCAAGCGGTTGGTCAACTTCACATCCTCATAGGTTGGGCTCCTTTGCTTCCTCTGCGACAAGGACACACCGGCCTGCAAGTCAGGCCTGGTCTGCGAAGCCAACCAGGACAAAGCGCCGATGGTGCTCATGTTGTCCTGGGCGGTCACCTGGTCTGCTTGGCTGCTAGGTGCCACATCCTTCGGCATCTCCACTGTTTCCAGCCTCGCTTTGACATAGGATGTCTGATGAAGTTCGATACCCCCCTCAGACTGTTTGATCGTGGCCCCGGTGTAGTCGAAGGTACCTGATTCCCACTCTGAGATGGGGAAAATCTTCGACAAAGCCTGTTGAAGTTGCGCCATCTCTGCTGGAGGTGCTGCCACCAAGAGGTCATCCACATGCGTGATGAGAGCTCCTCGAAGTTGTCCCTGAGGATCACGAAGAGGTAGAAAACAAGGGTCATATTCGTGATGAGATAGTCGTAGTTCCACCCCGTTGACCATGATCTTCAGATTGCACAACTCCTTGGCCAGTTTGTCCCACCAGAGCCTTGGCGAGTTTGAAAGTCCGAAGACCCCTTTGACAATCTCAATTAAGGAGTTTGGCAAAACCCCTGGCAGTCCACGTTTCGGCACCTCAAAGTAAAGGCCGCGCTTGGACTCGATGCCGTTGAGAAAGGGCGGCCTCAACATCTCCAGCTGCCAGTTGCCACCCAAACTGCGCGGCCAGGAAGAGGAGTGTTGTAAGCGAACATCTCGAAGCTGTAGGTGCTTCTGTTGAAACTGTTCCATGTCGGAGATCAGGATCTCGATGCCCACCTACACATAGCCGCGCTTTTGCCTTTGGTCCCACCGAAGGGTCTTCCCTTCGTTTCGCAGCATTCTTGTCCCTGTATGCAAATCTGGCACTCAAGATCCGGTTCTTGGGGACTTTGTCGCGTAGGATCTCGGCATCTTCCGGTGGATGTACCCTGACAGCCTCATACTTGAGATGTTCCTTCCATTGCTTGTCCTCAGCCTCAATGTAAAGTTGTTTCTCGGCTGTGGGTATATCCTCCCACTTGATCTCCTTGTCGACCTGCTTGATCACTGATTTTGGCACTCGCCGTTCCGCGACCAAAGCCTGCCGAGCTGGCCCCGCACTACTAGAGGCTTCAACCTCCTTGTCCAAGAGCTCTTCGAAGTCAGAGTCGGGCACAGGTGGAAGGGGACGAGGACGAACTCCTTGCTCTTCTCCACCTGGTGGCACTGGTCTTTTGTGCATCCTCACTGTTCCTTTTTCCCTGACTCGACGCTCGGGGACAGTCTCGTAGTTCACCAGTCTCTTAGGGTGAACGGGCGCTGTTGCGTCGGCAAAAGCCTCCTCGTCCTCACTGTCATCAAGGCGAAGTGCCAACCTCATCAGATCCTCCTTGACAGCTCTCGTCTGGAAAGCCGTTCCCAGTTCCTCTGATTCAGCAGGTCTGAGATGTTCAGCGGCACAAAGCACACAACGGCCGCCCCTCGATACCCAGTACGAGGGTCCCTCTTTTCCCACGACCACTCCTGGTCCAATCCACTCACCTTTGTTCTGTCGGTGTCTGGCCACACCTTTGGCTGTCTTGTCCACCCTGAAGATATACACATAGTCTCCAGCCTCGAAGATCTCATTGTTGGTCCTCGGCCTGCCGAGTACTGCTCTCTTCAGGGCGTCATCAGCCTGAGACTGTATGAATGCTTGTCTAGCGGCCTGTCTAATGGTTTGCTTCCGCCGCCAGACCTCATCTGATGATCTCAATTCTTCTCTTTCATACAGTCCATTCTCCTCATCCAGAAACCCGTCACCGGTACGGGGTTGAGATCCAAACAGCCATTGTGCAGGTGAGTAGCCATGTTTTCTCCTCAGGTTGTTCTTTGCTGCAGCTACCATCGCCAGGGTATACTCAGCCTCGTCTGCAGAGGGCATAGAGTGAGTCACTGTCCGATCCCACATAGCGCGGAACCATTCTCCCTGCCGCTCAACTGCTCCAGCTTGCCAATGAGCCTGGCCCGCAATGTACTTCACATGCGTGCCTCCCATCTCCATGCCGTCCGTGAACTCCTTGATGAAGCCTCGTTCTTGATCGCAGGCTAGCCTCAGAGGTGGTCCAGCCCATGAGAGCCAACAGTCGGTGAACGTCCTCAACAAGTCCGCCGACTTACGGCCTTGAAGCTTCTTGACCACGTGGTAGCCCGTCGCGAGGTCCAGCACCGAGAGGACGGAGACCTTGGTGTTGTCGTGAAGGTAGAGGTTGAGCGTGTCCACCGCCACCTCCTGGTTGAACTCAAGCGGCCGCACCAGTTTCGCCGGTCTCCTCGTACCGGGGTTCGACAATCTTGCATAAGAGCTGCACCTGATGGACTGTGCAGCTTTGACTGCACCTTCCGAGGCTCCAGACAGCTTCAGATGCCTGGCAAGATCATGGTTGGAAGGGTGCCCAAGGTTCTGGTGTATCCGCCGTAGAGCTCGAGCAAGGGGTTGAGGTACATGGGCAGGTAGCTCAATGCCAGACATCTTCTGCTTCCCCTTGCTGGCCTCCTCACCGTCCTCAGCCTCATTCACCGCATAGGCATCCCAAGTCTTGTCTCGGGGGTCGTCTCTTCCGACCCAGACGCTCCTCTCCTGGGCTTTAAAACCCTGCATTACAGCCCGGCAAAATGCCGGTGTATAGACCCCAGCTGATTTGGTGTTCCTCCCTTCTGTCGGGGTGTGCTCATGGCTGCCCGGGCAGTTCCTGTTCATCCCTATCAGCAGGTTCGGGTGAGAGGCGGCAATGCGAGTTGGCTTCCTGAGCCTACCACCATCCGTGGTGGCCCTCAGGTCATAACAGCACATGTCGATGTCGGAGTATACCATCAGGTCACTGTCCATGAGGCCCTCCATTGCGTGGTCATCCCATAGGTCAGAGGATCGCGGGTGCTCAAACATCACCTCTCCTCCATTGGCAATCTGGTTCCAGGCACACTCGACGGCGAAGTGCACCAACTCCCTCTGCTTCTTCCTCTCTCTCCTCAGCTGTTGCTTCCTCTGTGCAAAGTTGAGCCTCTGCCACTGGGACCACTTGGTACACGGCAAAGCCACCCATAGCAGCGCTGGTCTCTTGTAGTTCAAGTCGTCGAAGACGCTCTCCTGCTGCAGGCGATCAAAAAGATCGTGGCCTAGAAGAATGTCTCGGGGCTCCAAGACGTTGTAGCCTCGTCTCGCGAACTCTGCCGTGAGATGGGCCGATCCAGCAAAGAGCTCAAGCAGAGCTATCGGCTCTCGTTTGCCTTGGAGGGTGTTGGGGCCAAGCACCGCCTTGCACAGGTCCTTGGCCGGCTCCACAACTGCTTCATGAAGTTCTGCTGCAATTGGGGTCGCGCATGCCAACAAAGTAGTTGACAGGCACAACAGGGCCCGATGGACCCATCCCTTGACCTTCTTCTTCTGATTCCGCCTCATCTTCCTCGATGGAAGGTTCTTCACTTCCTCATAGTCCACAGGGTACCTGAGCTTCACCTTAGGCACCCCAGTCTTCTCCTCAAACTCGTACTCGTCGAGGTCGATGTAGTCCGACTCGTCAGTCTCCTCAACGTCGAACTCCTCCGCAGGCACGTAGGACTCGTCAATGACATAGGGCTCCTCAGAAGTGTCCAAGGTGTCGGAAGCGGTGATCTTGTCCGTGATCAGTCCTTCTTGAAGAGGGGCTTTCATCTTCTTCTTGATGTTGTGGAGCTCCTTCAACTTCGCCCAATGGGCCCTCTTCTTCATCCACGTCCGGGAGTGCTGAACTTGGGGCTCTCCTCCAGCCCCGCCTCCAGCCTCTTCTTCTCCGCTTCCTTGGCTGCCTTCATGATATGAAGGCGAGTCTCCATGTCCTTGATCTCCTCGTCCAGCGAAACCTCCGCCTCCGATACCACGGTGTAGCTGCTCGAGTCCTCTGGCATTGTCCTCGTCCTCGACACTCGTTGTTGCTTCTTCCCGTCGCCCTTGACCTTCGCCTTGGCCTTGGGCAGCGCACCCTCTGGCACCGGCAATGAGGGAGATTGCTCGGGATCCCCACTGCCCGAGGCGGCTCCAGCTGGAGGCGGCCTCGTCTGGCGAGCTTGTGCCCACTGTGCCAGTCGTGCCAGGTCGGGGCTGTGTTGCGGGTTGGCTGCAACCTCCCGCATCGCCCACTCCAGGTACTGAGGGTTCACCTCCTTGTACATGTACCCCTTGTAAGACCCGAAGCAGACCTTCTCCGTGTCCCCTGGCGGGGTGTTCTCCCTCAACATCCTCATGAGCAATCCCCGTGTTGGTTTGGGGGGGAGTGCAAGGCCCTCCTCCAGGCATTTCGCGGTCAGGTCCTGCAGGCACATGTGTGTTATCCCCTTCGTCTTGTGGCTCTGGTCTCCCTGCAGGTCCATCTTCTCGATCAGCAAGGAGCGCAGTTCTGGCACTGTCCAGTCCGGTCGGACAGGGCACCCCATCTTCACCAGCTCGTCGGCCAGCTCGTCCCGCTTCATCTTCCATGGCGACTTGGTGGTCTGCTGGGACATCCGTGGGGTCTCGAATTGGTCGTTCGTGAGCTTGCTCCGTCGCACGTCGACGACGAAAACGGCTGCGGCCAATCCACAAAAATTCTGCCATCGGAGCATGCTCATGTTGCCACAGATGTTCAAGTCGAAGGGTGTGACCACTACCATGACACGGTATGCATGTTGTTTCACGTACTTCATGAAGACTGCACAGCAACTGCTTCTTGAGGTTGACATCACCTGTATTCCACCTGTTAGGATCAAAACACGTTCTTCTTGGAGTGATGTGGATTCTAAAAAGGTTGTCTTCCGTCTCAATCCAAAAATCCCTTGACAAAGCTTGTTCCCTCCACCAATGAAGAAAAGGTTCAGGGGGTAGTACATCCCTAGTAAGCATCTCATGAACGTGCCCTCGAACTTTGGGATAAAATAGTGAAAACCCACCCCCAGATGCTGCACTCGCTATGTATGCTTCCACTGCTTCGTGTGCCAGGTCCGGCACGTGCACTTCAGTGACACTCCAATCGACCTTTTCCGGCCAAGATGGGACCTCCGGTCCAAAATCAACGGCATCGACTCGAGGATGCCCAGTGGAGGTGAAACCTAAGGCCACCCCCTTCAGGTCCAACTTCGTGAAGTCTGCCATGTTCTCCTCCATCATGTAGCGCATCCCCAAAGAAGCCAACACCGGTCGGCTCAAGAGCAAAGGCACATTGGCGGCCACCACGGAGATCTTGATCATGAACCACCTTCCCCTCAATGCCAGCCAACTCACGATGGCACGTCGAGAGGGGTAGATGGTCGGCCCACCGAACTTGAAGTTCTCCTCCTGCTCGATCATGATGTAGGGGACCTTCTCCTGCTTGAGCTTCTCCAAGTAGCGTCTCGCCCATGAAGATCCTGCCAAAGTCCTGCTGCAAGCACAGTCCACGATGGTCTCCAGGCCCTCGTTGTCCGTGTAGAAGACGACATGGGTGGTGTGCGTAGATCCCGGTTGAGGTTTGCCTTTGTGTTTCGGACACTCTGGGTCCTTGTGCCAGTGGCCCTTCTTTCCACAAGCTGAGCAATAGGACCTCGCCTTCGCCAACTGCAAGGCCTCCTCCTTCGACTTCCCAGACAAGGCTCCTCTCGCCTTCAAGACGTCGTTGTACTTGGCCTTGGCATTCTTGAAAGCGACATAGGCCTCATGCGTCTCTGTGTCGCCCTCGTCAGGAATGTCGTCCTCTTCCGGGGTCTCGTCATCGTCCAAGTCCTCGTCAAAGTCAGGGGCCTCGTCCAACTCCGTGCATAGTGCCTGCTGGTTCTTCTTGTTGTGCACATGCTTGTTGTCGGTCTTGCGCGGGTTCTCCCATAACCTGCGGTTCATCCTGTCCTGGACGACAGCAGCCTCTTGCAGCTTGGTCAGGTCGTACTGGTTGTTCACGGATGACAGTAAGCTGAGTTCCGTCGTGTTGTCCAGGCGGAGCTTGTCCACATACCACCATGAGCTGCAAACTCCTGGAAGTTGGCACCCCACCTCACGTAACTTCGAAAGGTGCCTGTCGAACTCTCCATTGAAGTCCCGGATGTCCTGGTTCTGGGTCCTCTTGAAGTACTTGAAGAAGTCGCTCATGTACTTCCCGGCTTTGACCACCTCTTTGTCCAGGTACCGCTGGGTGATCCACTCCACAAAGCGGTTGACGCCGTCCACGTGGTCCAGCAGGGAGACGTCAAGGTCTTCCGCGTCCCTCCAAGCCTTCCCTGTGAGTCCGTTGTAAAGGACAAGTGCTTGTTTGTTTGGTTTCAACCTCGTGACTCTCCTCCAGGCCTCTATCTTCCTAAGATAGCTCCTAGTCTTGGACCCTTCTTTATCCTCTTCACCAGTGAACTCCGGAACCACTATCTTGTCGCTAGCTCCCCCAACCCTTTCATCTACTGCATCATCACGCTGGCTCCCCAAAGAACTTCGGTTCCATGGATCTTTCCAAGCATTCCAAGGGTCAGTGGACTTGGTACCCCTCCCAGAGGTGTCTTCCCGGCTAGCATGTTCAGTAGTATCCCCACTATAGTCATTGGCGTCCCCAGTAGAAGGTGCATGGCTCCCATTCCATCCAGCCCATCTACCAGTATTCCACAGCTGCCACTCCTCATCCGTCCAGCGTCGCCACTGGTGCTGCGAGCTCGGAGTCCCCCCAGGTAGTTCAGGTTCTTCCCGACTATCACCAACGGACTCAGCGCCACTACCAGCACCACTTTCAGCAGGCTGCTCAGGAGAAGGCATTCTGCACCTCCCACAACGCCAATCACCACGCCACCACTATGGCTGACAGGCCCGGGTTAAACCGCCCCCCGGGTAGGCTCCGCTACCAATGTAAACACACTAAGTGGGGCAACAAGCGGCTGGATGCTACGCAGCCTTTTCACTACAAACACACTCGTGAGCCTCCATCATGGCCCGGCAAAAGGTTTGATGTGACATGGGACAAGCTCAAGCTGTACAGTTCACAGCACCCAAAATCTTGACGGTTTACCATAATTATTCACATTTTAAAAAAATGGTATCGTTCTTGCTAACTACCAGTATGTTTCATCATGTGTGATTGGTTCTCCCAGAATATATCTCAGTATATCCGCAGTTACATCCCCATTGTATTTATAATATATATATATATATACAATTATATATATATATATATCCCTATATGTGTTAAGTAAAATCACCATTCATTCCCGTGTGTTGGATGGTTTTCCCATCAAAACACCCATCAAAGGCCAGAAAAAAAAAAGTATTGCTCTCGATCAACAGTGTTTTTCATCATTTGGGCGTGTCTGAAAATGTGAGATCCTAAAGTTGCCATTTTAAGAGGGAAAATGCCGATAATCCGAAAAACATCGGGGGTACCTTGACGGATAATCTCCATCCACTTGGTCCTCCAAAAATCCGTCGTGTAGCACCAGTCCCGGCATCACCGGGGGCAGCGGCGGCATCTGGCGTGGCGTCTCACAGTGGATGGGGATGGGAAATCTCCGGGGCTGATGGGGGAATCAATCAAAATTTGGTATTTTAATTGGAGAAAATGCTGGTGTTATAAGGTACCGATTCCGATCAAATTGCAGGATTTAACCAACCAAAAATGGAGGAAGTATGAGGGATTGATTCAGCAACTCTGGAGCTCAATTTCTGGGGAACCAATAATTTGATGAACCAAGGGCAACCAGGTATGATTTTCACCACAAGAAATGGCATATCATTGTCATATCATCAGCAAAAACCCTGATTTGACCAAAAAGCAGGGATTGTTTGCCACATGGAGAGACGGAGATTGAACACAAAAGAATGCACAGATATGACTCATGATCACAGAATCTATGGGAATAAACAAGGTAAAACATATGACCATTCATGGATTACGACTTCAAGCAGGAAGTCTCCCATTTTTCCTAAAGGGTTGCCAAGGTGCCTGAGAGCCCCAAGTGCTTTCCACCGTAGTATCAGGTGTAGCAGTGGATTCTGCATGTTCATACCTGTGAGTTCCGGTGCTGGCGCAGTGGTTTGTTTTTTCCTGCAAAAAAAACTTATAACCACTGTAGAACTCGAAAATGGAGGATGTGAACCAGTGTTCTAGTGAATTCTAGTGGATACGATCTTGTGATGGGTTTGCATCGAGGAATTTTCACTGTGCATTTCAATGGTTTCCACATGGAAATTTGCAGGGGATCCTACAACTATGGTCATCCATCCCATCTGAAATCCATGTCGGGTATTCTTCAACCTCTATGATGTCAGCACCGTGGTGACCATCCCTGAAGTTATGGGATATAGATACAACTCATATTTTTGATTGTTGATCATATGTCCCATGAAAATCCCCATGTTTTAATGGCTGAAACCGGCATGTAACATACGTCAAAACAACGGACCCCAGCAGATGACAGCCTCGCTTGGTCACGTTTTGAAACTATGCCAGCATCCATTTCGGGAAGGGTGCCAGTTGAGTTGGCCCGTTGGCCCCATGGATCCGATAAAACAACGTTCAAAATTCGAATGGTCACGTTTCACATGTTGATTTTCACTGAAAGTCATAGAACAAATGTAACAAATGATCAAAAGACCCAAAAACGAACCCAAAATCCAGCTATCCCAACCTGTGCATGGAGATGGTCTCCTTGTCCTCCGGCTCCCTCATCAGCCTAACCAATAACCAGCTGAGCCCACCCTTGCAAACGAATCGGATACCTCAAATCAAAGATGGGAAACCCCCTTTTTTAATGAAATATTAAGGGGAAAAACATTTGTAAATTGGCACCCCAACAGTGGTTGATCAAAGTAACCAAAACCTGATCATTATTAAAAATATAATGGATTCAGGACTGGGTAAGAAAAAACCTGGTTCCAGAAACAATCAGTGTTCATGCATTGACCCATGTTCAGAACTTACCTCCGGGTTTTGCTCGAAAATACCGCTAGGGACTATGAATGATAAGATTAATACCAAATTACACCGGCATAGACCCCAGATAGAAAAGGTTGGAACTGATGGTTCCCAACGTGGGAACCAAAGGTTACCATGGCAAGGAACTGCCGGTTCCCAGACCTTGAAACTTACGGTTCCCAACCTGCAAACCAGAGGTTACCATTGCAAGGAATTGCCGGTTCCCAGAAGTTAGCTTTCGAAGCTAAGCGGCTTTCATTGTAAGGAATTGCGGGTTCCCAAAGTTTGAAACTCATGGTTCCAGACCTGAAAAAGCACACGTTACCAGTGGAAGGATCTGTTGATTGCAAAAAGTTAGACCTCATGGTTCTTAATGTTGTTTTGTTTTGTTTACTGAGCCGGTAACAGAACCCTGCACAGCACCTTTGCCAGACTTCGCCACTGCAGTCTGGACAGCACCCTGCACAGCACCCTGCACAGCACCTTTGCCACCGCAGTCTGCACAGCACCCTGCACAGCACCCTCCACAGCACCCTGCACAGCACCCTGCACAGCACCCTGCACAGCACCTTTGCCAGACTTCGCCACCGCAGTCTGGACAGCACCCTGCACAGCACCCTGCACAGCACCTTTGCCAGACTTCGCCACCGCAGTCTGGACAGCACCCTGCACAGACACCGCAGTCTGGACAGCACCCTGCACAGCACCCTGCACAGCACCCTGCACAGCACCTTTGCCAGACTTCGCCACCGCACTCTGGACAACACCCTGCACAGCACCCTGCACAGTACCTTTGCCAGACTTCGCCACCGCAGTCTGGACAGCACCCTGCACAGCACCCTGCACAGCACCCTGCACAGCACCCTGCTCAAAAGTTCGCCACCGAAGACCCCACCTTTGAGAAGTAAGAACCCCTATAGCTTGCCAGCTATCTGGGGAAAAAACGAAATTGATATGGATTAATACAATGAAATACCATGAAATACCAATTCATGGGCATTCCTTATGGATTAATAACACAATGAAATACCATTTCTCCGCAAAAACACGGTCCATCTCTGGTCGCCGTCTCCACCTTTGCACCAAAGGCCGACAATCTGAACCTGACAGGATGTTGAAACCGCATTCTGAACGTTGTTTCAGGATGGTCCCCAAACGTCACACGAACGTTCTGAAGTTTTGTTTTGGAATCAAAAAGTACGTTTGCACGATTGGGAGTCACTGAAAAATTAGCAACAAAAATCATTTTTGTTGGCCAATGCCTATGTCAGTACCGAAACTCGAAGGTGCCTCCGCATTCTGTGATGCAGCTGGGCGACGACCCCATTCCCGGGGAAAAAAACGGATAGATGTTTAATTACGTAGTTCTGGGGGGAACCCAAGAATAAAACCCCTGTTTCCTTGAAGGTTCATTGTTTTTTGTTCAATGATAAAATGTACTGTTGGTTCATAATAACACGTTTCGGCAAAATTACGAATTCGTTCCATGTTTTTACCGTTTCGATCTAAAATTTTAGTGTTTTGTGCCCCAGATGATGTTGAAAACTCCAGGCAAATGTTCAGTGAACATTCTGGAAAAAAAATGTCTGTTTGTGGTCTACAATTTTGGCTGACAACACTGTAGTAGAATTACCACATGATTTTCAAAAACCTCAATTGACTCGTCAGTTTGACAACAATCATTCGTTGGGTTTTGACTAATTAATCAATCAATCCGAATATGCAGGTGAACTGTACAAAATTTCACCCAAAAAAAATGTTGGGATGTCTATGTACCCAATTTTTCGGCACGGCCATTTGCGGCCAACCACCAACCAATGTTTGGTAGCATGTACAAGGAAAAAAAAAACTGGTTTTGCCCGCTTGAGAGAAAAAAGGCTGCAAAAAACGGAACAATTAATTTATTGCTGAAATCATCGCCGCCCTGCCTTCCATTAAAAATTGCATCATTGGGTTGGTTTCAACATTTTTGCGTTTGCATGTGTAAAAACGACGTATGTATATTCTATTTTCAAAAACGAACCTAGTGCCGACACCGGAAGTGACATATGGTTGACGTAAATTTCATGATTGTTCTTGGATTTATTGTTGAAAATTCCAGAGAGTAGAGGGTTCCCTCCAAAGAACGGCTACCAATTCACATGTTCAACATCATGTTCATCATCAACATCCTCATTCATCATCCTCGTCATCAACATTATCATCCGAAAATATCAAAATACCTACTGTATGTCTACAACTGTATATAGACTTATGTGAAAAAATGAACACATTTCCAACCATGAATTGCAGTTGTATAAATACAGTTGTACACGTGAAGGTTTGAGACTTTGAAAGTTAACTAAAACAAGAACTATATAAATTTGAGGCCAAAGGGACCCGAACGAAAGCTAATTGGGCAAGGAAAAATATGTATTGAGAGAATATATGGCGCAACCTTGTGAGTGTCAATTCTTGACTTGAAATAAACTACCGTTCGATGTTGCTGAGACGCTAACAGCAGCGTATCATGATATTCTAGCTCGCATGCACCACAATCATTTTCCTCTTCCTGTCCGTGACATGTTACAGATATATCTATGTAAATATGTTTATAATTAATGAATATATCTAAGTATCTCTATTATACAAATAACCTAATTTTAGAATCTGGTTGCTTAGGTGCATACATCCATCGAGCAAGAAATATTTGGGAATCTTAAGATGCGCATCTTCCATTCCTCGCCACGAGCAGGTCACCTTTTCATGCAGACCTCTTGAAGAAATGGAGTACAAAACTCCAAGTGGTTGTTCCCTCATTGCATTACACTACACTACACCTACATTACATTACATTACATTACGTTAC